ACCCAAAACGTTAACTCTGATTTTTTTCTTCACAGATGCTGCCAGACCTGCTGAGCTTTTCCAGCAACTTTGTTTTTGTTACATCCTTTTCCAGCTGCCTTATGTCCTCTTCACTATTCATCACCCTACCTACCTTTTTGTCATCAGCAAATTTAACTACCATTCATTTGGTTGCTTCATTCAAATCATTTATATAAATTGTAAAGAGTTGAGCTCCAGCACCGACCTTTGTGGCACATTACTTGTGAAATCCTGCCAGCCAAAGACCCATTTATTCCTACTCTATATCCTGTAGTGAGTCAGTTTTCTGTCCATGCAAAAATATTATCCCTACGCTACAAACTTTTAATTTTGGCAATAACCTTTGATGTGACACCTTGTCAAATGGCTTCTGGAAATCTAAGTACAATGCATCCACTGGTTCCCCTTTATTACAGCACAAGTTTTTTTTCAAAGAACTCCAATAAATTAGTTGAACATGATTTCTCTTTGACAAAAGCATGTTAGTTCTGATTGATTCACTTGAATATATCCAAGTCCCTGTTATAACATCTTAAATAGTAGCTTCTAACATTTTCCCTGTGACAGAAATTAAAGTAACTGGCCTGTAGTTTCCTGCCTACTGCCTCGCTCCCTAATCAAATGAAGGAGTTACATTAGCTATTTTCAAATCTAAAGGAATCTTCTTTGAATCTAATGAGTTTTGGAAAATTAAAACTAACACATTAATCATTTCACTGGCTTACTTCTATGATGAAGTCCATCAGGACCTGGAAACTTAAAAACTATTCACATGTTATTTGACATGTAACAAAAATAAATATTTATAAGATCTTATTACCTTGGAAAGAATGTAATAGCAGTCACCATGAAATGTATATTTCATGCCATCAAAAGTGGAGACATGTGCTCCTCCCTCAAATGAGCAGACACCTGGGCATTGTAGATTTTTGCACAGCCATTTACCTCCATCGCAGAGACTTAAATGATAAGGAACACCAATTTAGTATGTTTATTCAAAGCTAAATGGAGTCTTATTACAGAAGCGGAATTAATGTTGACCATACCATTCTTCACATTCTGCTGAAATCAGAGTGCCTGGATTGTAATGTTTGCCCTTCACTGTACACTTACACTCCTTCACACTAATGCACCCAGTGCCAGAATAATCATCGAGCACCATGCCTGAAAAATATGAAGCATGTCTATAATTATTCCAATGTTCTTCTAATCATTTTGAACAGCAGCAGTTACATGCGCTTATGCACTTATGATCTTCTAGCTGAAGGTGGTTGCAAAGGTTTCAGCCTTGTTTTCTGCAGTCATGCGCTGGACTCACCCACATTACCTTTAGATCACATGCTATGATGTGCAGTGATGATACTATGAGCATGTTTCTTCAAGGTATACTGACATACTGACCATGAGACACGATACAACAGGATCAACACATAAGTGGTCAACATTCAAGGTTACATAATGCAGTTTGTTGCAGAAGCTACCAACTCTTACCAAATTTTTACTGCCCCATACAAATGATATCCCCATAAAAGTCAGAATTGTTAAGTAAGGCATCTAAGTGTGAACCCCCAATTTAGATGTCCTGTGCCAACTGTGGACCAGATGAAAGCTCAGTAATAAAATTTAGATCCACCACTTTTTTTCTGTGTTTTTCCTGCCAGTGGTTATCTGCCAAGATGGATAGTTTACACATACGCCAAGATGATTAGTTTCTTTCTCTTAGAAATCAGTTTCAAAATCAATTATCTGCTTATGGGTTTGAGAATTATTTTTCCCACATGATTGGTTCAACCATTCAGTAACACAGCAGATTCTGAGATTGCTGTAGGATTCTTTATGATGGATGAAAGTAGGGAGAAACAAATAATTTGTTTGAAGACACCGTAAATTGCCTACCTGGTGGACAGAAGCAGCCATCCATGTAGTGCTCTTCACACAAGCTGCTTGTGTCAAGGTGAGAACAACTGTTCATACAGGGAGAGCCACTTTCCTTGTAGATCATGTTTAAAGGACATTTCTTTGCTGTAAAATAACACACACCAAATGGATAGAGGGACAAACAGATATAAACCCAGATGTAGTCCCTGTAAAATGAATACAACTGGAATCTTTTAAAGCCAGAATTCTGCAGTAAGCTACAGGGTATGTAAATCTAGACAGAGTGTTCTCATTTTGTGCAGAGAGAAACAATACAGACATCAGTGTTTCTTTTAATGGTTGCTTGCTGCACCACACGTTAGCCATCAATCACTTATCAACAAGGACACTTAGGTTTCTTTTTACATTTACACTTTCTAATCTCTTACTATTTAAGAAATACTCTTCACATCTGGTTCTCCTACCAAGTGAACCATCTCGTGTTTCCATATTATATTGCATCTACCATATTCTTGTCCATTCACTAAGCCTGCCCAATCCCTCCTGAAGCTATTTTCTGTCTTCCTGCCAAGCAGATTTAAGGTAACAAGCAGAAGGCTAAGAGGAGAGGTGAGGAGAATTATTTTCACTGACAGGATAGTGGGAATCTCAAACTCATCTCCTGAAAAGAGTGGTAAGTCAGAAACTCTTGTAACATTTAAGAAGTTGATAGATATTTACTTACTTTCCCATAGCCCCCAAGACTATGGACAAAGAGCTAGAGAACTAGATTGGTATAGTCGGGTCTTTCTTGACCAGCGTGGACAAAATGTGCTGAATAACCTTATTCTGTGCTGTAAACCTCTGAGTCTGTGAACCTGTATGAATTTTTAAATGCCCTTGCTGCCTTTTCCTGTCTCTATTTAGTAGGAGTAACTGCAACACCACTCTGGACTGACTAGAACAGACCTCTGTACTGACTAGAAGGCACCTGCAGACTAATTGGAACACGCCAGCCAGACTGTCGGGAACACAGCCCTGGAGTGACTGGAACACAGCCCTGGAGTGACTGGAACACACCACACCTGGACTGACGGGAACATAGCCCTGGACCATCTGGAACACACCACCTGGACTGTCTGAAACACACCACCCGGACTGTCTGAAACACACCACCCG